CCTTGGGTGATACGATTTAGCGTAAGGTGTCCCGGCCCCCAGCAGGGAGGTTGGAACTAGATGATCTTAAGGTCCTTTCCAACCCTAACTATTCTATGATTCTATAATTGTGACACTATTATATATAGAGAGTGAACTTTTTAGATCCTAATCTATTCTGGCTAGGTTTATTTCATTTCCTGATACATTCAAACATCATCCATTAGGGCAAAGCATCTGGTCATAAACTGATCTTGCTTCCATCATTTGCTTTGCTTTGAAAGCTGTCCTTGTGTTCCCTCTTGTGCTCTTTCTTCCTCACACATAATAAAAATAACTACACTTCTGGTTTGAAGAACTTGCTGTAGCATTACCTTCATTAGTGTCAAACAGTTGACTTCAATAATTAGAAATCCTCCCCACTGGCTCAAACATTACTGTTATCAGTGCGTTCATCCTGAGAATGAATATTGTCCTAGGATTTCTGATGTTTATACACTAGTGCTGCAGTCCCTGAACAATAAGTCATAAAAATCAGTAGGTTATAAGAAAAGGTGTATAGAGCAAGGCCTTCAAACGACATCAATACAGACTTAGCTGTGTTTTCATTCAAGGATTTCTTGGAATATGTCTGTTTGTTAGGTTTTGAAGACTTTTTTCAAAGCTTTTTCCATTAGCATTTCAAAAATAAAAGTAAGTTAATTTGGAAAGTTTGCCTGAGGACCTCAGAAAGTTTACTTGTTTTTTACTTGAGGACTGGGGCCTATTTATATCAATTCCAGATCTCAATCCAGATTTAGGCTATCCAGCGATACAGACTGACCTTCACTAGCTGCCTAAAGGACATCTCAATACCTAACTACCTTTCCTTTAAAATTAATTGTTGCTTTGAAAATCCCGCCCTTGGAGACATGAGCAGCTAATCCTGTTTATATTACATTTCTACAGATTCTTACAGCTATCAGGTAATGCCTTCTGAATTCTCTATTTAGCGCACTTTAACACCCACTTATGTAAGACTTGCAGCTCCAGATATGCCTCTAAACAAGTATGCAGCACAGTGGGCAAGACCACAAACAGCTCAAATTTTGTGTTCAAAAACCCAAGGCATACAATGTACAAAGTTACTGAAGTGAAATGAAAGAAGGATGTCACCTTGGTTCCTTTTGACTTGATTTCACATTGAGTTTAGCACCCTTCACTGAAAATAACTGCTCATCTGTAATGATAGGGAAATAACTTGTGATTTCTAGGCACTATGCCTCAAATTTTTTCTAGAAACTTAGGAAGATGAAAAGTCAAGACTACTTCATTTTCCCAGCTCCTCTTCATACTGATTTTAAAACAACCTGGGGGGAATTTGTAAGTAATGGAAATTACCTGACAAGTGTTCCTTTGTGGAACGGGTAGTTACAAAGTCATTCTAGCATGGATGATACTGAGCTGGTAAGCATACTCCGCAGCCTTGATAACAACACAGTTAAAATGTACAGTCTAACATGATTTGCATGCAAGTTAGTTTCAAGTGTCTTCAGGTAACCTCTTGCCTTCATCTTCGCAATTTTCTTATGAATAATGAATGGTTAACAAAGTCATGTACTTAGGAGGAGAAGCTGCCTCTGGCAACAGGATATGACCTGACAGAAATTCACTTGGAAAAACACATACTGGGCTGAAGTTACTGAGCACTATATGTGAAAGACCAATAATATAGTGTAATTTAGTAAGCAACTGTAGATAATATTCCTATTCAGTTCTATTAAAATATATCCCATGAAGCCCCTTTCCAATCAAAATCACTCTGTGACTGTACCTGTGTTTTTGTAGTCAGTGTTTGCTTGCATTGAAATGTTTTCCTAATGTTCTACTTCCAAGTTTGTATGGGGAAATGCCTTTTCTGTTGAACAAATGCAACTAAACCAAATACATTTCCATGCTTGGCAAAATACTCCATGCAGTTTTTCCATTTTTTACCCAGGTCTATTTACAAGTTTCTTTTATGTAATAGCGAATGCAAGGGGGGAGGGGGGGGCGTTCTTTTCTCATGAACTGCTATTTCAGTAAGACAGCAGATCTAACCCTCGTCCTGAAACAGTGAAGGTCAGTCTTTATTCTTCCAGGAGAAGCAGATATTTACATAAAGAATACAACATTTTAACTCTAAACACGTTTCTCGTCACTACACTCAACAAGAGACAATTCTACTCAAAGCAGTGCCTGAATAAAACTGGAACAACCTCAGTGAAGACTTAAAAGATACTCCGAAATTTAAACAAGTCACAAAACAGGAACAAAGCAAGTTCTGTCCTCCATTTGTAGAAGCAAACTGTATTTACATCAAGTTACACCTTAAAACGTACAGAGTACAGCAGGTAACTACAGATAAAATGCTGGTCCTTACCTTTGCCTATAGAAGTGGCTATTCCATTCATTAACTGGGATAGAGATTTACCGGGAGAACCAGAGATATCTGAGGATGCCACTGAGTTACTGCTCAGGAGATCAATCTTCCCTGCTTGCTGTCGGAACTTCTCCAGCTCTCTGGATAAAAGGTTAAACTGCTCACTCTGCGTCCGGCATTTCTCCTCTAGCTCTCGGACCTTGGCCTGCACAAGCAAGACATCACACAGACATTTGACTGAGTTCAGAGTGAGCTGTGACTGCATCAGATTTTCCTACAGTACCAGGAAGCCAGGGTAGGCAAACTATTTGGGATGCACAGGCCTACAATCACATTTTTCTGCCCCTAAATTCTCACCCATGTTTAGAACAAAACCTTTTAGTATCTCTGTAATATCGCAGTAAGTATTCCTTTAATCCCCAATTTCCAAAGGGAAATTTCCTCATTGTATTTTTGACACTGCTAGAACAAAATCACTGCCAAGAACACCTGCAAACAGATCCTGGAGCTTTGTGACTTCTACACACATCTGAATGTCACTTTTGTGCACTCTTCCAACTTTTCTTAAACCTCAGATGTATTTCTGAGGTTTGCCATTCCTCTGTTACTAAGCTGAAGACTCCTGAGTTGATAGATTAACATTTATGTATTAAAACCCAACAACAACAAAAAAAGGCAAACAATGGTTCATGCAGAATGTGAGCCTAGCTACTGGCTGAATTCCCTTGCAAAAATAATGCTCCTCACTACAGATGCCAAAACACACAGAAGTAATCCAGACACCAGCCAAGAGGAGAATGTGTGTAAGCTTGTGAGAAGTACCAAAATGTCATTGTTGGCAAACATTTTTATTTTGAAGCATCAGCCTTCAACAAAACAGAACTTCAAAGATAAACTTGTGTGCTGACTTGGGAAATCTGCCTACATACAGTTTACGAATTCCTGATGTGAAAAAATGGATGAAGTGATGGAAAGATTCCCTGGCTGAAAGAAATGACAAAGGGCATGGGAATCTATGACTTTGCAACTTTTACTCAAAACATTCATAAGGGGAGTGAAAATGTGAAATCCAAATCTGCACATTCATTGTACCAGCTAAATTTAAGATACAATGATTTTTTTCAATAGAATGCATTTAAATTTCAATCTGCATTTATAAACAGCCTGTATATCTATTTGCATACACTATCAGATATTCCCAGAAAGAAACCCCACAAACCTACAGTGCCCAGAGAGTAAGGAAAGAGCATAATAACACGTGTTGCAAATACTGAAGAACCAGCAAAGCTCCTGAGAAGCTCAGTTGTGAGGTCTGATTTTCACACAGGGGCAAACAGTTGTTCTGTACTCTGAAAATGTGTCAGAGCAAAAGTACCATTTTAGACCTAGGGAGCACTCGTGGTCTTATGTGCTGCCACCCAAACAGGCAGAAGTAGCTCAACAAAGACAGTAATAAGCTCCTTATGTAAACAGCTAATAAATTATATCCTAATCTGATGCTTTATGATGAACAAACATGACTTCCCTTCGTTAAAACCCCCTTCATAGTATATGCCTAGTTAAACAACCGAACTAACAAAGGAAGTCTGGATACCAGTTGGATTCATTTAATTGTACTGAACATCTTTTTCTTGAAAGAAAAATGTTCTCAGTTCATATAAACAGACCTGCACATACTACATATCAAGAAAACAACATATATTACATATAACTATAAAAAGATCTTAGCACAGCTAAGGACAAACAAAACACTTACAGTCCCCAGAAGAACACAAAAATCTCAATTTCCTACCACAGCAGGTGGTACTGTTTGTTCCTTTCTTTTGTAACAAATATATTTTTAAAGCTACAGTGAATTTTGAGGAGATAATTTCTTCATATTCATAAAACACAAATTAATTTAGTTCTGCCAAAGAAGTCTCAAGGGTATCTACCTGCCTCATTATGAAACAGAAAACAATACGGTTAGAGAGACCTTGTGGGAGTTTTACATAAACATTAAATGCTTTGATTTTTGGTGGTTTTTTTGTCTTTCATCTTCTCACCATGGTTTTGAGCAACCAAAATATAAGCCTTTGCTACTTGTTAATTTGGTGCATGAATAATTCATCTATGTACAATTTTAAAAGAACATTAAACAAAGAAAGTAGTAAACTGATGTGGGTTTTTAGATCCCCTCTTTCCAATGGGAAGCTTAAGGATGAGGTATTCAACTCACTAAGAATATATACTGACCTTTCCACATGCAGTTATAGAAACCCTATCATTAAATAAAAAATAAAAGCATCACAATCCAGACCTGAACAAGATGCTAAGGCTGCCTTAAAAAAAATTTTGGAAAAATATTATTTTAATGTATTATTTATTAATTTAAAACTTCTTTGCATTTCATATGCAACTGTAAGTTTGACTTTTCTTTTGAGCAGCTACAAACTTCAAGTTGTTCTTTCATGACAGTACGAAGCCTGGATGAAAAATGCCTTCACTACTTTTCTATCAAGGTTGTGAGTTAGAAGTGAGTACAAAGCTGTTACTAAGTAAAGAACAAATTGTCCTAAAATCCACAACAGCACTGGTGGGAAGCAGCCCGTCCCCATCTTTGTTTTTTTGGGTGAGGCAGGTTTATTATTACCCAGCGACTCCTCCCTGTGGAAAATCTACGTGTTGGATGTCACTGCAGAGCAAGGCATGTGCTTATGCTCTCAGAAGAATTTTTATTCTATATCGTGGTATAACCTATCCTAACAACAACATAAAAGTGCCAGGTCTACCAAATCTCCCTAAACCTGGTTCTATAGCAGTGGCTGTATGAAAACACATTCTCTACTCCAGACCACACTTGAATGTATGCCACCTGGGACTTGCCAAGTTTCTCATACAATACAGAGTGCTATTTCTGAAATGTAAACAGCTTCTTAAATGGAAAATGAAGCAGACTTCATCCATTACAAAAAATACTGTTCACACAAGACAGATATGACAATGAGCAACTTTCCAGGTGGACAGCTTGAATTCAGACTAGTAATTAGCTCACATATTCATTTCATGGTTTAACTGTTTACACAGCAGCAATGGCTTTCAGTAGATGGCTCAAGAATTCAACTTAAGGAGAAAAATATCACATAAAATTATCTCTGTATTAACAAAGAAACAATCTGAATTCAGACAAAATCCACACAGTCAGAAAGGCACCATCTTGAATAAACTACCAAACCATTCCTACTGGGCATGCTCACCAGAAATAAGCTGTCAAAACCAGCTTCTGGGTTTTCATTAGGTCATGCCAGATTTGAAAATCAATCTCTTGTAGAAAAAAACCTTCTGATACAAGTGATTTGGTATGAGGCCAATAAATGCCAAGCATGCTTGTGTAACAATGGTTCTAGCACGCATCCCATGCAAGGTTAGGCAGGACTATCATACTCATTTTAAAGGTCAAAGTGCAGGATTCATGACAAGGAAAGGAGAATTTATGCCCTAAAATACCTGCATGCTGTCCAAGGTGTTCTGGATGAAGTGCAAAGCAATAAATTCCAAATAGGACACAGTAAACAAAGAGATGTGAAATAAACAAAGAAATAAAAACAGTTTTGAGCACTTCTTTTACATTTCAAAGCAAAATACATTAGAACAGTTAACACGCATAAAAACATGCATTAACACAAACCACACTACAGAACATTCCAGAAATCAATACCACTGCTGATCTTACATTGCAAAAGGCACATTAAATAAAACGCTGAAAATTAATAGGCTCATGGCAATGAAAAGCAAAAGCTTAGGAAACAATGGGGTTATGCAAATCAGAGGTCACAGACAAATCAGCTAAATGAGAATTCTGATTAGCTTGAGGCGGGTAAACAACCATTTGCCTGCCTTGTTTCTACTTCTCTTTTCCTGCATCACATACTTTCCACCAGGCATTAAATAATAATTTAATATTATAACCTTAAAGGAAAGACAAACTTAACATACGCAATGATAACGAAAGCCAATGAGTAAAACATTCTGTGGGAATGAGTAAAACATTCTGTGGGAATAATAACTTTCACAGATACAAATAAACATTTATATTTTCTAAGATGATCAATGCATCACAAAAAACACCTTCCATCAATACATAACCAATAAGTGCTCAGACAGAAAATGGTAAAAAGAAATCACCTTCTGCTTAGAACAGATTTCTAACTGAAATATTGACAATGCACTTGCTATAATCTATAATATCCCAGGTTATTTATAATATGTATTTTATGTTAAGACCAAATAACCATCCAGTGCCTTTTCTTTTCCTCAGGCAGAAAAACTGGTTTACTTGTGCATCTGTATTTTCTGACACTTAACCTTATCCTTCAAAAAATATGATTGGAAATTAAGGAATCTGTTCTTCAAGCTGAAAAACTAGGGAGGAATTGTTTGCTTTAGGAATCTTCTTACAGGAGCTCTAATTTCTGCTATACATTGTTGTAATTTGTCCTATCTTGCACAAAACTGTAGGTCAGCCTGCATTTCTAAACAGAAGCAGCAAAGGGAATAAAATGTTCTGTCAGCACCAGTCAGATATTTGAGTGTATTAATTTATTTCAATTAGAATCTTTGTGGTTTCCTATGTAATTTAACCATAACTGTATGTATCCATTCTAAAGGTTCCATTATTATAAGAGTCTCAGTTTAAAACCACTAAAAATTTAACTCAAACCTAGAACAAAGAGGTTTTGCACACCTTTCCTTATTCAAACTAAAACTGACAGAAAACCTAATGGGTTTTGAATCTGAGTGAGAATTTGCTCCTATTCTCCATGTCACTTCTATACAAGCCACATGCAGTTCTGTATCTTTAGGCAAAGACTAAATCGAAGACTAGACTGGAGATTTTTAGGAATAAGGAGTCGAAGCAAAGCTTGAAAAGCTACTATTGAATTTAGAGGCAATATCCTGTGCCAAGGTCATAACTGCTATGAGCAATTACTAATGAAAACACTGACTTTTTTTATCTTTATGAGGGATGCTGCCTTTATGGATGATGTCAGTATGTGCAGGTAGTTAGTGCCTTAAAAGTTAGTAAATCAGATATCTGAACCATCTCTCAAAATTTTATTTCTTTAACAGCATTTACTTACTAAATCCAATAGTCACTGGTAAATTCTACAAACATATTGCAGCATAGCTGGGAAATGCTAAGAAAGGCCACTGCTGGTGATAAACAGCAATAGGATTAGAGGCAATGAACATGGGTAGCATCCAGAGAAAAATGCTGACAGGATACAAGAATAATATTTTTCATAATGAAAGTGCTCAAAGACTGAAAGAGGCTGCCCATGTGGGCTGTCATATCTCTATTCCCAGAGATGTTTAAAAATGGACTGGGCAAAGCCTTGAGCAGCCTACAGTGATTTTGAAGAGGGCCTTTCTTTGAGCAGGGAGGTCCCTTCCAAACAGAATCATGCGATGATTCTAATTAAAAATTTGAATGTGTATCTGGTGCCTGTGGTTTTCGAATGCCCAGTTCAGGCTGCCTAGAAAATACAGTTTTCCAGTAAGAAGAATGAAGTGGTCTCTGTCTACTACGCCCTTTGAAGGTTTTTCAGTGTCCAAATTCTTTTATTAGGTTTAAAAATTTTGGCTCTTTAGCATGTTGCTTTCGGCTGACTACACAGTATTTAATTAGGAACGTTAGGTAACTTATTGGTATTTGCAGCTATATTTCCAGCTCAGATAATAATAATTCCCACAATTAATCACTTCCTTTTTTATATACCTGACAGTATTTTACAAAAAACAGTACCAACATTTCTATTCTATACAAGGAAAAAGTGAGGTACACACATCCGTCACTTCCAACAGCTCAGCTTAATACACTCCTATCTGAATTATAATCTTTAAAGGATGCAATTACACTAGAAGAGATAAAAAAATTAAGTAGATGCCTACATATTATTTGAACTTTCAAAGTGATGATACTGTACAGTAATCACATACAGAGTGGAACCTCCACAAGCAAAGGTAACACAAAGGGTATCTTCTTACCTCTAGCAATTGAACTGCTCCTTCATGTTCCTTCTTAGCTTCAACCTGAGCCTTGATTTTATAAAAACAGAAAAGGGAAAGGGAAAGGGAAAAAGGAAACAGAAAGAAAAAAAAAATCAGTTAGTCATACCACATGTACTATGCTCTAACCACAGAAAGCAGCATACTGTATACTCAAATCCCAAGCCAATTACGATTTTGAAGGGGTGGCTCTGCCAATATTACTACAGAGATTTGGTTCCAAGCCACTGAAATAACTGCTTATTTTAGGAGGCTGAATCTCAGCAAATGTTAGCAGCACTGGTATTTTGTGGTACAAAGACAAGCATGCTCAATACACTGTGAGACAAGAACACACCAGAAGTATCTCTGAAACCCTTTACATTAAAACTGAAAAATGAGCTTGTTATTCTACATTGCAGGAGGTGCACATACCTACAACACCAGCTAGGAGAAAGCAACACAAAACCTAAGCTCATTCTTTACATGTAGCAACAGTATTATCATCTAAATAAATAGTTCACAGAACACTTCAAGGCAACCACAAGAAAGCTTGTCTGTAAACAGGTGTGCAACATTACAGTCTGTTCAACTGAGACAAAGAAGAAAAGAAGGAATTGCAGAAAAGTTTATTTTATGGTAAGAAATTCAGTTATAAATTTCTGATAGGGAAAAGTCTAAACCTTTGTGTTATGCTTACTTTATTTCCATTTAAGTTTTCACTGTCTTCTTTACTGAAGCCTGCCCCAGGTAAGCAAAATGTTTTATTAACCATTTTATCAGGCTGAGAGCAGTATGATACACTAACTTTGCCTCTTTGCTCCTTTATTAGTGTAACCCAAAGACCACAGTCTGCACGTTCCTTAAAACTCTCCAATTTTGCAAAAGTCAACACCCTACAGACTTTCTAATTTAATGGGCCAGAAATTCCCATGATGGACACTGACACAGCTATGTTAACTTCATTTTCATCATCTGTGAGGGCTACCCTACTCTATTACTGGTTTCAGTGGAAGCTGGGTCAAGCCATAAAGTCACAACTGAAAACATACATGCAAGCTATACTTCACTGTCATGCACAGTAATAAATCCTCCTTCAGACCTGCATGCAGAGTCATATTTCTTCCTATACTGTAATAAGTCTTACTGATAGCACCTGATAAATATTGGCTCCACGAACATTACCAAATATATGATGACAGGTGACATAAAGTCTTGTGTTGTCCATCATTACAAGTTTAATAAAATCTACCCAGAATATGAGTTCTTGATAAAGGATTAGAAAACCTGCATCAATAGCTATCTCTCTTTTACATCAAACTGTCTTGTATTAAGGCTTTCTTGGAGAAAAAGACCATCTGATTCCCCATCAGCACAAAACCTTGATGAACAATATTATATTCTTCCTTTTAGGCTGGAAATCTGATCAGTGTGTACACATATTAAAAAACACAGTGGATTTTTATTTAGAATATCAAAACGTATCACCAAATGCATCAGACTGCACCAGCAACTTCCTTTGTTTTGAAGTACACATTTCTGTGTTTCATCAGGAACTTCACAACAGCAACAAGATAGACACACTGTGAAACGTCACCTGTTACTGCCTGGGGAGTCACTACTTTTAATTTTGTGGTACTTTTTAAAGTAATTAGGTGACTTCAATTAAAAAAGGAAGAAGGAATTTAACACATATGTACTTGGTACATTGGGTGAAATGTGAGTCAGCAATTCCTGTTTAATGATGAAAAGCTTTATAGTTACTTAGGTAACACATTTACTTAAATTATTTTCCTGTCAATATACATTGCACTGTAATGTTGGAAAGGAGGTGTGTTGGACATCCGCAGCCTAGAGGCTACAGAAGGACAAATTAATTTGTGCTTATTTCCACTACCATACCTAGAGAGTCACAGGAGCTTGCATAACTCTCTACAAGGTAGAACTGTGCACAGCATAGGTATCCTCCCAAAATCTTCCTGTGTTTTGAATATTTTCCCTCTTCTA